AGGCCCATGCCCATGCTGGAAGCCCGCCCAAACCTGACCCAGTGGCATACCAACTGCCGCCAACCTCAGCATACTCTGAGGCCCCCCATTGCTTTCAGCCATTAAGTCGCCAGGGCACTTCACTTACAAGCAGCCCGATCCACCACCATAGTAGGTGACAGATTGTCCTCAAAACAACCTTTACCAGCTACACAGAAAAAGTGCTCAGGATCCCTCAGTCTTCCAGGAACATGGCACCAAGTTCTTCCAAAATGACATGCAGACAGCAGCATATCTCAACATCCTCAACAAGAAAAGAAAAACAAAATGCAACCTCAGAAGAAGTCATAAACCCAGTGACACACATAAATGAAACAGACTTTGTTCTGCAACAAAAAGAAATCTTCAGAATGCTGCTTGGAGTAATACAGGATATGTGGGAAGCAACACAGAATAAGGACCCAATGATAGAGGGGATGAAGTCCACGCACCAAAGGGAAATACAAGAACTAATGGATGAGGTAACAGAAGCAAAACACAATATAATGGACCTCACCAACAGACTTGAAGATTCAGAGAATTGTACCAGCGATCTTGAGGACTATTGGGCAGACTTCAACAAATGGGAAAGACAGTCAAACAAGATAATCAGAGGTGGAAGAAATCCTGAGAATAATGACAGATGTTATGAAGAGGTACAATATTTGAATAATTGGTCTACCATGGTGGTTCTCAACCTTCTTAATACTGTGGCCCTTTAATACAGCTCCTCATGTTGTGGTGACCCCTGAACCATAAAATTACTTTCATTTCTATTTCATAACTGTAATTTTGCTACTGTTATGAATTGGGTGACCCCTGTGAAAGAGTCGTTTGACCCCCAAAGGGGTTGTGACCCACAGGTTGAGAACCTCTGGTCTACCAAAACAAGACATAATGAAGAAGTCAACAGCTAAATTAGAGAGGGAATACCCGGAAGCAAACTTCCCCACTTTATGAATGAGAACCAGACATTCACACAGGAAGCACCGAGGACACCAATTAGAATAAACCCCAGGCAGAATTCACCAGGCACATAATAGTTAAATTATCCAACTTTGAGGAAAACCAAAAAAATTTAAGAGCAGCAAGAGAAAAGAAGACAGTCACATATATTGGAGCTCAGGTAAGAATATGTTCAGACTTATCAGCAGATACCATGAAGAGGAGAAGGGAGTGGAGTAACATCTTCTGAAAATGGAAAGAAAAAATGCCAACCTGAGAATCTTCTACACTGCCAAACTATCTATTAAAATAGATGGTGAAATGAGTCTTCCCAGACAAGGAAAAACACAAATTATGTGCCATAAGACCAACCCTGTAGAAGATCCTTACTAATTCACTGTGGTCAGAAGACCAACCACAAGCAGGAGTCCGCAATATGGTGCTACTCCATCCAGAACTCAAAGTACTGAAAACAATTACCAAGAGAACATTGTTTTAGTGGGAAAAGAAGGCAAGAATGAAGCCCCTCACATAAACACAGCACACTGATATGAAGGGAAATAGGAAAACACCCAACACAAAATGTATGAAATGACAGAAATGAATCTACAGATGGTGGTAATAACACTTAGTGTCAGCAACCTGAACTTGCCCATTAAAAGACAAAGGTTAGCAGAGAGGCTCAGAAAACAAAACCCATCAATCTAATGCCTGCAAGAGACACGGGGGAAAAATGAGGAGCTGATACCAGGGGCCTACGTGGAGAGCAAATGTTTTGATAATGATGAGGGCAATGAATGTACAAATGTGCTTTACACAATTGATGTATGTATGGATTGCGATAAAAGTTGTATGAGCCCCTAATAAAATGATAAAAATAAAAAAAGAGACACATATTAAACTTATAGACAAAAACAGCCTAAGAATAAAAGTCTGGCAGAAAATATACCAGGCAAATGGCAACTTAAAAAACACAGGGGTTGCAATCTTAATCTCTGACAAAATTGACCTCAAGGTGCAAACCATAACAAGAGACAAGGATGGGCACTATATAATGCTCAAAGGGTCGGTAGACCAGGACCAGTAAGCATTGTAAGACTAGGACCAGTAAGCATAGTAAATATATATGTGTCTAACGAGAGAAATCCAGGAAGTTCGTCAATCTATTCAAAAGATCAAAAAAGAAATCACAGACTCAACAATCATAAGTGACTTTAATACACTGCTATTAGAGAAGAATAAAGCACTGGGAAAGAAGCCCAGAAAGGAGTCTACAGAGCTAAGCTACAATTAGATGACTGTACCTGATATACATTTAAAGAGGTCTTCATCCAAATGCAAAAAATCCATATTCCTTTCAAGTACACATAGCTAATTTTTGAAAATAGACCACATGCTAGCACACAAGTCGAGCCTGGGTAAGCTCAAAGACATAGAGATTACTCAGATGTCCCTCTGGGACCACCATGTCATAAAGCTGGAGATCAACAAAAGGAAGAGCAGAAAAACAAGGGCAAACAACTGTAGGCTGAATAATGATCTTCTGCAACACAAATGGGTACTGGCCCAGATTAGAGAGGATATTAGTAAATTTCTAGAAACTAATGAGAATGAGAACACAACATACCAAAACCTATGGGATACAGCAAACACAGTTATCAGAGGAAGTCTGATGGCAATTAATGCATAAGGATAAGATACCTGTGTGTATCAAAAGACTTCACCGAGAGAGTAACAAGAGAACCCCCAGACGAGGATATTTAGCAATTACATAACAGACAAAGGGCTTATTACAAAAATCTAAAATACCCTCCGCCTGCAAAAAGAAGAAAACAGTTACCCCCCCCCCCCCCAGGAAGTGGGCAAAAGACCTGAATGGAAATTTTACTAGTGAGGATAACCAAATGGCCAGTAAACATATGAGAAAATGCTCCTGATCATTAGCCATCAGAGAAATGCAAATGAAAACAACTAACCCCCTTGAGGAAAGCCTGAATCAGAAAATCTGAGAGCAACAAATGTTGGAGGGGAGGTGGCGAGATAGGAACTCTCCTCCACTGCTGGTGGTCATGTAGATACATTCAGTCACTGGAAAGGCATCTGGTGGTATTTAAAACAAATGGAAATTAAGTTACCTTACAACCCAGCTATCCCTCTACTGAGCATATAACCAGAAGGGGTAAGAAATAGACCACGACCAGTCATCTGCACTCCAATGTTTATTGCAGCACAATTCACAAGCACAGCGAATTGGAAACAATCTAAATTTCCATTGATGGACTAGTGGATTAGAAAACAGTGGCACCTACACACAACGGAGTACTACCCATCACTAAAAAGCACTGATGATTGCATGAAGCACATCGTCTCATGGGAAGAGTAGGAGGAACTTACGCTAAGCAAAGTTAGTCAATCACAATAGGACAAGTACACCATGAGTTGCCTGAGGGAAGTATAATCAGCACGGAAGGTATAGAAGAAAAGCCACTTATCTCACACTTCATGGGATGAGGTGCAGGCAATTGGGCGGGTCACAGATCAAACCCAAGGATGTACATGTCATTCCAGCACAAAGAAGGGGGAAAGGGAAGGCGGGAGCAGGAAGAGGGAAATAAATAAAAAGAGAGAGATGATGCCATTGGGGGAGTAGGGCATTAATTCACCCAGGGGGAGGGTATTGTTAATGTCTCCACAGAAATGGGAGTGGGAGTGCAGACCCCACCATGGCATGCCAAACCTTGAGGGCAACGTAACCATGTGGAGCAACTCATGGACAGGGCTGGCCCCAGTCAAAGCCAAACTGTCCCCTCCCCCCCAGAAGTATGTGCTACAGAGGCCAACGCTAAACCTACAGGTTGGGGAGAGGGGCCAGCCTGCTATACCCATACAGAAGCCAAGCAAGAAGGAAAAGCAGAGAGCAAGGGACTAAGCCCCATGCTGGCACACCAAGCCCTGACGATGGCGTCCCTTCATGGAGTTGCTAAGGCACAGAGAGACTGTAGGGCTGACAACAGCTCCAGACATGATGTTCTCTCACTGGAGCAGCCCACGACAGAGGACAATACTGGGGACACACGGCAGAGAGTGAATCCAGTCTGACCACGCCCACAGTGGGGCGAACCAAGAAGAGAACATAGCAGATCAGCAACAGGACCAACAACAAAAAGCCACACAACCCCTGAGGAGCCCCCAAAATAGACTTAAGGCTAGGAGGGGCAGTTCCTGGACTCCCTCAGTACCAGTGGGGAGATAGTCATAAAGGTCAATGGACAGATCTGGAATTATGCATGCTTTTTCTATTCCTTTTTTTTCCTTTCTATTTTCTTTTCTCTTTTTATTCAATCTTTTGTTTTCTTTTCGTTTGTCTCTGTTATTGTGGTTTTGCCTATCTATATAGGAGGCATGGGAAGAAACCCAAGGAGAGAGCAACGGGACTGATGGTTCTGGAGGGACTTGGGGGAAGGAGGAAGCTGGGGAAAGAAGCAGTGAGCAAGCAATGCCATGGACAGGGGAGCAACTAACTAGCGAATTAAAATCAACAACGAGGAGGATGTAGACATCCTGGTGGTGTTGGAGCAACAACAATCTAACAGAGGAATTACTAAGAGGCAGAAGAAGGGCGAGCATGATGGTGGGAAAGGATGAAGGTAATAGGAAACAGGAAAAATCTAGGAAGCACAGTTAAGGATAGAGATATATACATAGGTGTGCACTTATGTAAATATATTAATTCTTAAAAATAGAGGTAGTGGCCTATATACATATATTCACATGGCAATACATTGAGGAAGTGGATGGACTTTGGGTCTCTGCTGAAACTCTCTCTCAACTCAAGAACACTTTGTTCTATTAACCTGGCATTCTGTGATGCTCATCCTCCTAACACAATCACTGAAGACAAAATGGGTGCATCCACAAATGTGGTGAATAAAGCTGATGGGTACCAGGCTATCAAAAGATAGTGTTGAGACCTCTCTGGTGATGGCTAGAGAGGCAGACCGGGGCCACCAGCTGGGTCGGAGCAGAGCAGCGTCAGAATGGACGAAGATGTGCTGGCCACCCTGAAGATTCTCATCAATGGCGACAGTGTGGTGGGCAAGCCCAACCTACTATTGAGGTTCACAGATGATACTTTTGATCTAGAACTTGCAGCAACAATAGGTGTTGACTTTAAGGTGAAAACAATTTCAGTGGATGGAAATAAAACCAAACTTGCAATTTGGGATACTACTGGTCAAGAAAGATTCAGCACATGAACTCCCAGATATTATAGAGGTACACAGGGTGTTATATTAGTGAATGATGTTACAAGAAGAGGCACCTTTGTTGAACTGGCTAATTGGTTAAATGAATTGGAAACATACTGCACGAGAAATGACATAGTCAACATGCTTGTTGGAAATAAAATTGATAAGGAGAAGCGTGAAGTTGATAAAAATGCAGCATTCATGTTGTTTATAGAGGCCAGTGCAAAAACCTGTGATGGTGTACCGTGTGCCTTTGAGGAGCTGGTGGACAAGATCATCCAGACCCCTGGACTGTGGGAGAGCGAGAACCAGAATAAAGGAGTGAAACGGTCACACAGCGAAGAAGGCCAGGGTGGAGGAGCGTTCGGCGCATACTGCTCTGTGCTGTACACACTGCGGAGCTCCAGCTCCTGCACATTTGATCAAATAATGACCTCCTTCCTGTTCATAAACTCTCTAACTGCTCTTTTAGGGACCTTGCTGTTTGCACATAATTTGTGGAAATTCCACTCTTTGGCTTTCCCAGGTAATGTTACAGTAAGCACGCACAGGTTTCAGTATGCATTTTTAAAAAAATGTAACATAAAATAGGTGTCCCTTTAGAAGTACATTTGATTTGATGATTTACATTGATCATATATTGTTAAAAAATCCATCTATTTTAGTATATGTTGACACAAGGTCTGCTTCTGATCTCCTTTTTGCTTGAATATTCCTATTGATTACTGGATTACTTGGAAAGTGGACCTCCCAGAGCCACTGGGAGCTCGACGTCTGTTCTCAAACCTGGCACACCTTCTTTCCGGGATAACAGGGAGCATGATTCCACAGTTTGTCTGGGATGTTGGCAGACAGATTCTCTTTTAGTATTAAGAAAACTTCTGGTAGCCCCGGCCGACTTATAATCAAATCTCTGTTTGTTCTGATGATGCCTTTAAAGTAGCATTAATATGTTAAGGGAATTTGGTTTTCCTTTTAATATACTCCAATGAGTGACTCAGTTTCACTCAAGTATTCATTCTGTGACATGTACACTGGACTCAGGGCTGTTTGGTGTAGCATTTTGGGGTTTGTGGCAGTTGACAGAGTGACAGTAAGTATTTCCCCATTTTGGTTTCAGAAGGGCATGGGTAGCATATTTATAATAGCTCATGTAGTTCTTACGAATTTTAAAACCAACTCCCCTTTTTCCTAAACATTGGTAGTGTTTGTCTAAGTACCTCAATTAGAATGTGTATAATGTTTATGGATATCTGCATCTTACGGCTTTGTAAATGGCTAGTTGATACAAATCTCTCTCTATATTTTGAGGTGTGGGAGGAGGAAAACCAGAACAAAACACTAAAGGGCAGTCTGAGAATGGCATATTGCTCCCAGAGTCTGACGTGTGTGGGGAAAATACTGCTGCAGTGAAAATCTTGATCATTTACTGTAACAGGTAGCCAATAGTGTACCCACACCAACTTGTACAGACTAATAAATCTTTTCCACAGTAAAAAAATAAGATATAGTGTCTGGCATCTTAAAGGCTTGAAGTTAAACAAGCGGCCATCTAGGAGAGAAGCAACAAGCCCACATGGAAGAGCACAGCAGCGTGTGCGATCAGGAGGTGCCGACGGAATCAGGTAGCAGGCACCACAAGACCCAAAACACCAACAAAAAACATATTGTTGAGAACAAGGGGTCAGAGCAGAGATCCAAAACTCATCTTTAGACAACAGGATATCCCCTCACAGAAGGGTCACATGGAAGGGATGAGTCAACCAGGGTGCAGTATTGCACTGGGGAAACACACAATATTCCTCTGGTTCCTTGAGGCTTCCTCACCTTCCACTATCATAACCCCAGGCCTGCCTTTCAGTTCTGGCTAGACTGGAGCGTGTACACTGGTACAGATAGAGCTAGTGACACCCAGAATCCAGGTCAGATAAACCCCTTAGGAACATAAATGGGAGTAGTGATACCAGGAGGGTAGAGGGAAGGTGGGGGGGGGGGAGCAAGGGGGAACCAATTGCAATGATCAACACAAAACCCTCCCTCCTCCAGGAGGATGAACAACAGAAACATGGGCGAAGGAGACAGCAGTTGGTGTAAGATAACAAAACAGTAATAATTTATCATTTATAAATGATGATGGCAACATATCTTCAAATATGCTTGATGCAATTCATATATGGAATGTTATAAGAGCTGTAAGAGCTCCCAATAAAATGATTTTTTTTAAACCAAACAACTGTAAATTTTGTGGCTTAAAACAAAAAAAGTTGATTCTTTAGAGTTATGAAGTGTAGAAGTTGAACTCTGCCAAGACCAGAACTCTAGGGAGAATTCATTTGTTGCCTCTTCCATCTTCTGGTGGCTACCAACAACCCTTAGGACTCCCTGGTTCATAGCTATATCACTCTCCAGTCTGCCTCTTTCCACTGTTACCGTTTTCTTTCTGTCTCAATTATCCCTCTATATTTCTCTTTTAAGGACGCTTGTCAGTGGATTTAGAGTCCACCCAGATCATCTGGGTAATTTTCTCATTCAAGTTCATTATCTTAATTATATCAGCCATGACTCCCTTTCCAAATACGGCTAACATTTATAGGTTCTGGGCATTAAGACACAGTTCTGTCTTCCTTTGAGTCACTATTTAGCCCATCACAGGGACATCCTATTTAAGCTCTGTGTTACATCTGGAGGATGGTTCCTCTCCATGTTCGCATATCAGTTGCTTCTTCTTCTTTACACATTTTATTTTAAATTAGTGTTTTTCTTGATAGAGTATTCACACATCATATACTTCCATGGTTAAATCACTTGTCAAAATGAGTTGTAGATACAAAATCACAATCAGTTCTATTGCTCCCTCCCCCATCCCACATTCATTGTTTGTGCCCCAAATCCCCTCACCCTCCCTATCTCCACCACCCCTCAGATAAACCACTCATTAGTTATTATCTCTATGCGTCTACCCCTTTGTGCAACAGAAACAATCAAAACCAAAATAAAATGGCAAGACTAAAATAATAATACTATAAAGATAAAAATACAATTAAAGAGTAAGGGAGGAAGGCCACCATCAATATTTAAAAAGCCAGGGAAGGGAATTTTATTCATGAAACAATCAGTTGCTTCTTTAATAGGCCATTTTACCACTCCTTCCGACTGGTGACATCGGAGGGTGGAATATGTGACAGGTTTAGTGGATTCCATGGTCATCTGCTTACTGCTGCACCTTATTTTCTATAAAATTATCCCTTGTTCTGAGGCAATGTTGGTTAGGATTTTATATCAGCTGATGAAACCCTCTCTAAGGCCCTCGAAAGTTGTGCTGGTCAATAGATGAGCCCATAGTGGATGGACATAGTGGACGATAGATGAGCCCAGATACTGAGACTAGTTAAATAGAATCATGGCTCTTTTCAGGGTGAAGAAGTCCGTGATATTCAATATGGAACCAAGTATCTAGCTGATTTTTTAAAAAATAGAGCCAAATGGTAGTCTCAGTTTCGGTAGCTGTTGTTGGCAGAGCAGCAGTAGCTGTAGCTATATTAGCCGTGGTGAGAGGAAGCATGTCCTGTTAGTCTTATGCACAATGTTTATCCCTTCTATTGAGACTACTTCACTCATACAAACACATGTCATCATGAGGGTAGTCCATGATGAATGATTGCTTATATCAGATGATGGAGCCATTCTGTTTCATTGATTGCTTAGTGTCTCTTTTGTGGATATTCTTTAGTGGCCATTAATATGCCATATGAAGCTGTGTTAGTCTGTCTACTTTAGAGAAACAAATCCACAGAAACTCATATATATAAGAGAGAGTTTTATATAGAGGGTAAGTGCACATCAAGAAAACATCCCAACTCAGTGCTGCCCAAGCCCACAAGTCCAACATTAGCCCATATGTCTGACACCAATCCACAAAGTCCTCCTCCATCTCACAAAACAGACACAATGATGCTGACTGCAGGAGGAAAGCCAAATCAGTGAATGTGTAAGCATCTCGGCACTGGTAGGGGTCTCCACACGGCTGCTCCAGCACTCAGGGTTGCATCGGGGTAGGTTCATGTGGCTTCTCCTTGAGGATGTCTTGCAGGAAGTGAACCTTACTAGCTGAAGTAGGGAACTGACTAAGGCAGCTGCACCCTGGTCCGACCATCAGAATGCAAGAGACCTAAGAACTTGAAAGGCGAGGCTCACCAAGCCATTTATCCCTCCGCCCTTCAATTTACCCCACGTGTGTTTATCAGCCAGGTTGGCACAATAAACTTTAACTATCTCAGAAGCATAGAAACAATTGTGAGGATGGCACAGGACCGGGCAGTGCTTTGTCATGCTGTGCATAACGTTGTTATGTATCAGAACCTACTTGATGGCACCTCACAACAACAAAGATCTTCATACTTTATGCCATTCCCACAGGTCCAGCTATATGGGTCTTCCTGAGATTTGATTACCCTCAATTTTTCAGTTTTCCCTTTTCAAGATCTTGGACCAGCTAGTTTCTTGAGACTTTATGACTTGGGTATGACAGAACCTAGCTCATGAGAGAACACTTTGACTGCACAGCCACTTGATGCTATGAGTTGGGATTGATCTCATGGCAGTCAGTTTGTTTTTGCTTTGATCTTTACCAAAGCCCACTCACAAACCAGAGTCTGCTTTTCAAAGGCAGATAATATGGCCTTGATAAAACAAAACCCTAAGGGTCTCCATTCTTATCTCTTATTGTAGTTTGCATTCACCTTCATATGAGGTCTTTTCCAAACCTAGAAACCTCTAGTGCCATAAATTTGATCACTTTCTATGGCCAAGTGATAGTACTGCTTGGGCTACATCCTAAGCTTGTTTTAGAGCCATTCCCAGCCCTTACTTAAAGCTGGCAACCTTTCAGGTTATTTGGTAAACAATACAGTTTGCTACCAAAACTCAATGGGGACTACAACATGGTTGGAGCTTTGTAATTTGTCATTTACTTTGGGGAAAATAAATGGATATCCTAGTATCCTCAAGATCATTGGACCCAAAGAATTTCATTGATCTGATGAACCCCCAAATTGTGTGGAGTTCATCTTCTTCTGAAAAACAGGCCTACCACTTCTTGGTAACCTGGTCTACTAGGTGTCTGTCACCAGTAGAGTAGACCAGTGTAGTAATCTATGGGATGTCCAGATGGCCCAGGTCTCTTTGGAGTGCTTTATGATAGAGGGAAGGCAAACTAGCATAGCCTTGGGGCAAGACCATAAATGGATATTGTTATTTGTCATATGTGAGCTTGCACTGCTTTTGAACATTCTTGTAAAAGGGAAAGAAAAAGATACATTTTCCAGATCAATGTCTGTATATCATGTGCTAAAATCTGTATTCATCTGTTTTAACTAAGATGCCGCATCTAGAACGGTAGCTTTAATTGGGGCTACTTTATGGTTAAGTTACCTGTAGTCCACTCTTATCCACCCTGATGCATGAGGTTTTAGATATTCTAGCATTTCCACTGCTATCAGAAACCTAGGTTCTGTAACAGCTTCTCTGTCTTAAGGAGACACCCTCGAACATCTTAATGTTGGCCTCTCTCACTAGCACTTTCTCTCTTTTTTTGGCAGAGGTTTAATTCAGGGCAGGGAGAGCACTTTCTTTAGGATATTGATAAACATGTTGTCCTCTTAGCTTTTCCATGGAACAGTCAGCTGTATGCACTCTCTTGTTCCCAGTTTGGGGAGCATTTTGAGTTCCTCTTCTACCACATGTCAGGAAAGTTCTGGTATCTCTATTAGTAGGGAGAATTCCTTTTTTTTAAAAAAAACAACAACCAGGATTGAGCCTTGCAGAAGGATCATTTCCAGGATCATTGCTACCATGTTAAGTTAGTTATCTTAGGAGAATTTTTACATACTTGCAGATTGATATACTCTCCTTTATCAAACCTTGTTCCACCCCTTTGGTCTATTAGAATCAAGACCTAGTCCCATGAACATTCTCTCACCTCCCTATAGTACATATTATCCAGATACTGCATTCGTTTGTGAGATAGTCCATTTTCCCCCCTCAGCTGGACTAACAACATAATTGACCCCATTTTGCTAGGTCATGATTTTACTACTTGCTATTCGTCTGATTAAGGAGTCCTAGAGGTGCATTTGGGTAAGCATTGAACTGCTAACCATAATGTTGGTGGTTCAAAATCACCAGCTACCCTATGGGAGACAGTTAAAGATACCTGCCCCCCGTAAAGATTTATAGCTTTGGAAACCCTATATAGCGTTGCTAAGGGTTGGGATCAACTTCATGGTGATAGGCTTTTAGGTTTTTTGAGTCTGATTAACAGAAGGGGAAGAAGAGTAGGGATTCTAAGGGTGGCCAGAAAAACCATATAAAAGACCTGACTTATTTGAGGTGTCTGCATGATACTCAAGTAAGGGTGCTGAGGAGGTGAGCCAGTATCTCCTAACAAGGGTGTATAAGTTATTTTTGTAAATCTTGCAGGTTTGGGGGAAGCTGGGAGTTCAAATGTTTCAATAAGATCTACCCATATAAGTTCACTCCCAAGTCTCAGTGTCCACTCCTTTTCACTTAATGGCCTTGACCTTTGAGGAGAAGATCTGTCAGAGCTGAAATTCAATTTTCTCTGAAGGTCTGTTTCTCTTATATCATTAAGTCCAAGTTATTCTCTTATATCATTATTCCCTGGCCATTTTTTTCTGAGCACCCACTGTTGTTTCCTTAAGTACAGCTAAGACACTCTGGCGGCCTTCACATTTCCCTGACTGCGGCTGATTAATCACCAGGAGTGTGATGTCATCTCTCTTCAGTAGCACACATCTCATAACGTCTCCAGTTATGATATCATTTTATTCCTTTCCAATACCAGAGATTTCACCCTAGCAAGCACAGCTCCTCCCACTGAAGTCTCAACCTACTTGACTTGGGTGAGTGTTTTCACAACTGCTTGCTACAGCATACTGAAATCTATCTGTTCTTCACTTATCACCAGCGTAATGTTGTTGGCTTTGTTTTTAGCTAGATAGGGAATAATCCATTATACAATTCCCATTTCACAATATTCTTCTAAGGATCACAACTGGGACTAACTGGTTTAGATTGGGTTACTTGGGAGGGATTCTGAGATGGACAATTTCATCCAAGGTTTACTGGGGACTGCCTCTGTGAATACCTGTACAAAAAGGAGGGAAGCTAACCCAAGAACAATTTTTCATGAGAATTCAGCTAGTTCTATGGGGGGTTATGGGCTATTATGGCCTTTCAGACTTGTCCTCAATTGAGGCAAAGCTGCCAAGACTGCATGAGTCTGAAGAAGAATTTATAAACTGGTATCAGACATATGGGTTAATATTCTACTTATGGACTTGATCTGGACTAGGCTGGGATATTTTCTCAATATACAATTACTCTTTATATAAAGCTCTTTTAAAAGCCACTTTGTTTAAGGCTCTTATAATTCTTATAACATCCCATACATGAATTGTATCAAGCATATTTGTACATATGTTGCCATCATCATTCCCAAAACAGATTCTACTTGAAAGCTTTTTCTTATACAGATATGGGTGTCTATGAATCTGTTTCTCTAGTCATTCAGGACAAGCACACCATACCTTTCTCCTGTAGATTAGCTGGAGGGTTTGAATCACTGAACTTGCAGTTAGCAGACCATTGCTTATCCACAGCATCACAAAGTTTGGAAAAGTCAAAAGTCAGTGAAAAAGAAGACGACGCTCAATGAGATGGCGGGGAAAATGGCTACAACAATGGCCTCAAGCATAAGAATGATCACAAAGATGTTAGTGGACCAGACGATATTTCATTCTGTTGTGCGTCTGGTCAATATGACACTTGACAGCACCTAACGACAACATAAAAAGATTATAGTCGTTTCCCCCACCTTCCCAGTGCACCTCTTCCCTTTCCACTCCTCCTTTCTCAGGGACCTCCACATCAGAGGACCAGTTGGCACCGAACACCAATCTTTTCTGTATTGTCATGTATATCGCACCAGGCCAGTTACATCTCTCCAAATAGGTTGTGAGATGCTTGATGGGAGAAATCCCTCTATTCTTAATTACATAATATAGAATTGGGAACAGACACTATGCTTTCTAAATATGAGTGAGAGGAATTCCTTATGGTGGAGAAATTACATATCTTTTAATTCCATTTCCCATGAACAAATTATTTAATAAATTGATGTAAGAGCATTTAGGAGCAGTTTTCACTTTGTAAGGAGAGACCTCTTAGAGGGATTTGGTATAAAGGCATACCTTGTAGTGGGCTCAAACATAGATATGATTGTGAGGATGGTGCAGGTCTGGGCAGTGTTTTGTTCTGCTGCCCATAGGCTCACTATTGGAACAGAATCTATGGAACCTCATGACAGGTATGCATAACTTCATTTCCCGGGTGCAATAAACAGTTAAGTGCTTGCCTATTGGCCCGAAGGTTAGCAGTTTGAAGTCACCCTGAGGATCCTCCAAAGACAGACTTGGCAATCAACTTCTGAAATGTCACAGCCCTGAAAACCCTACGGCACAGTTCTTCTCTGCACCTATCGGGTCACCATGAATTTGAAAGGACTCCTTACAAACTAACAACAAAGAGAAGATGTGTAAGTATTCTTTGGCAAAACTTTTGTTTTGATGTTGAATACATGCAGTGATGTGAAAGTTAGATTTCTGATTGTTAGACATGGTAAAAAATAAAATAAGAATTGGAAGAAGAAAGACAGGAAAGAGCTAGTAAAATGCTGCCAACATTCTTCACATGGATAGGGAGCCTCTTGTGGGCAGAGAAGGAAAGACACTGGTATACCTGCCTATATAAGTTAGGCACTGGAGGCGTGCCCGAGGAGAGAGCAGTGGGACCAATGGTCGGTCCTGGGGAGACCTGGGAGGTGAGGGTGGTGGGGGAAGAGGGTGGTGAGCAGGCTGTGCCATGGACAGGGGAATAACTGGGATGTTGGGGTCAATAACAAGGAGACACTACGGGTACGAGGTGGGAGTGGGGGCTGTCGGAGCAACAGCAAACTAGCTAAGAGGAGGTACCAAGGATGGAAATAAGGGGAAAGTGACAGTGGGGCAGGATGTAGGTAAAAGGAAACAGAGGTAGGATCAAGGAAGCAAAGCAATGGATAGAGGTATAAACATAGCGGTGTACATATGTAAATACATTAATCGACAAAAATAGAGGGATTGGCTCATGTACCTATATTTATACGGCAATACACTGAGGTAGGGGATGGACTTCGGGCCCCTGCTCATTCCCTCCCTCAATACAAGAACACTTTGTTCTAACCATTCGCCAGTCTGAGATGTTCACCCTTCCTACACAATCGCTGAAGACAAAATGGGTGCATTAGCAAATGTGGTGAAGAAAGCGGATGGTGCCCAGCTATTAAAAGATATAGCATCGGGGGTCTTAAAGGCTTGAAGTTCCACAAGCTTCCATTCAGCAGTGAAGCAACAAGTCCACATGGAAGAAGCACACTGTCGGTGCGATCATGAGGAGTCATTGGGACTGGGTAATAGGCATCAGCAGACACATAACAAACAAAAATATATTGTTGAGAACAAGGAGGGCTGGAGCGGAGATCCAGAGCCCATCTGTAGACAGTGGAGCAATCTCCCCACAGAGGGGCCACAGGGAAGGGATGAATCACCAGGGTGCAGTAAAGCATCGATGAAACACACTATACTCCTCTGGTTCCTTGAGGATTCCTCAATGCCACCCCTGCCCCCTACTCCAATGACCCAAGTGCTTCTTCTCAATTCAGACTAGACCGGAATATGTACACAGGTATAGAAAGATAGGGGAGCTCATGACACACAGAATCCAGGAAGAGGAGTGGGAATAGTGATACCAGAAGGGTAGGGGGAAGAGGGGGAGAAAGGGGTGGCCAATTGCAATGATTGACACATAACCATACACCTTTCTATAGTGGGAAGAACAAGGGAAAACATGGGGGAAGGGAGGCAGCGGTTGGTGTGAGAGATGAAAATAATAACAACGTACAATCTATCAGTGGGTTAGAGGGTGGAGTGGAGGGGAAAGAGCTGATACCAAGGGCTCAATAGAAAGTAAATGTCTGGAAAAGAATGAGGGCAACATATGTACAAACATGCCTGATTCCATTGATGCATGGGTTGTGATAAGAGTTGTACGAGCCCTCAATAAAATGATTAAAAAAAAAAAAAAGGAAAGACACTGGGCATCTAGACTTCAGAGTTGGAGAGGCAGCGACTGGTTTCGCAGAGGCCCTCCTGGGGCTGGTGGGGATTAGGATACAATCAGGGGAAGAAAGGCTCTGGGACCCAACCAAGGTTGCTCACACTGCTTATTGTCTGGGCAACTAATAGGCATTGCAGGAGCCCCTGAAAACCTTCAAGCGCCTTTCCCTCAGAAAGACCCAAAGCACTTAATACCCCACAATAGCTCAGGATTTTCCTCTAGGGATCCCTGTTTTCTCTAGTGCTTTAGATTGTAATAGAATCACGGTTGCCTCCCTTCTCTCCCCATTTAGTTACCTGCAAACGCCGCTCAAATCTTTAACCTTGGGAGATTTGGTGATAATTTCTTGATGAAAATTTGTACACACAGCTGGACAAATTATTGAGGGGACCACAGGACAAAATCCTTGAAATTGAAATTGCACAGGAGATAGGGCATGCTGCCTTCCAGTTGATAAAAGCCCTAGAGTTGAATTTCAAGTGTCTTTGGCCCAGGCCCCTTCAGGAGTCAGGAAACCTCCTGTCGCTGGCAATGT